ACACCGCCCCTAAAGGAAAAAACCCTAAAAAAAAAAAAAAAAAAAAAAAAAGAAAAGAAAAGAAAAGTAAATTAAAAAGTAAAAATAGGGACTGGCAGATTGAGTAATGGTTATGTCGCTAGACTCCCAAGTAGTTGAGCACAGTTTGAGTGCCCGCATGATTCAAGTCCTGGATCCGGAGGCTTAACAACTAATGCTGAGGGGCCTGCAGGTGGTGTGGTGGTTGAGGGCACTAGACTCCCACATGTAACTGTGGTTCAAATCCTGGACCTGGTGGCTTGCTTTCCTTTCCTTCAGGCTCTCTGTCTCAAGTTAAAATAAATAAATAAAAATAAATAAAATAAAAGAAGACAATAAAGTTAAATAAAAATAATTCTTAAAAAAAATTCATGCTAGGTGAATATGGGTGCATGCCCAAAATCCCAAGAGGAGAATGGAGGAGACGGATTGCAGCATGGCTAGGCCCCCAGAGGGCAATTTCTTGTTTTCTGTCTCTCCAGCGAGTACACATGCCCTATAGCAAAAATTTATCTAAAGAAATAAAACAAAGTAAGAATAAAAATCATGACATAGATATCTAAAAAAAAGAGAAAGAATGCACTAATGTATATACATTGAAAAAAAGACCACGTGATACTTCCATTTACATGAAATGTGCAAAATAGTCAAAATCTTTAGAGACAAAAAGCAGGCTGGGAAAATCGGGGGAAATAAAGAGTCACTGCTAGAGGGTGCAGGTTTCTTTTTTGGGGTAATATAAACATCCTAAAACTGACTGAGGTGACAGGTGTACACCAGGTGCTGGAGCACTTGGACATCCACAGGCAAAAATAAAAAGCCCAAACCTAAGTCTTATACTCTACACAAAACTGTCTCAAAGTGAATCACAGTTTTACTGTAAAACAAAACTATAAAATATATAGGTTTGGCTCTGTGCCAACTGAAGCCAGCCCATACCCTAGTTGTTAGGGCAGGTAAATCCCACCTGGTTGACCATGGTTCAAATCCTGGCCCTGGGAACCTGGAAAAACATGCCAGATGTGTGTGTGCGTGCATGTGTGTACGTGTGTGTGTGTATGTGTGTGTGTGTGTGTACGTGTGTATGTGTGTGGGGGGGGTGTCCCCAGTCCTACCAGGATGGAGAAATGGAGGAGAGGGGTTGTGGAATGACCATGGATGGGATCTTTATCTCTTTCTCTGGTGAGTACATATGCCTTCTGGCAGTTGAAAAAAAAAGAAAAGAAAATGAAAAGAGGCACAAATTAAAGCTACAGTAAAATATCACTACATAACTGACAGAATTGCTAAAGTAAAAAATAGTGACAGCACCCAGAACCAAATGATGCAAAAAAAAAAAAAAAAAAAAAAAGGACCAGTCATATTACTGCTGGGAATATAAACTTTTCACATAGGCACTTTACTAACTAGTTTGAGAGTTTCTTAAAAAGCTATACAAGCAACTACCATATGATTCAACTACTATATTCCTGGGCATTTACCCCAGGAAAAAAAAAAATAAACCTGCACAGAAATATCATAGCAGCAGGGGCTGGCAGGTGGCACAGTGGTTGAGATGCTGGATTTCTATGTGGATGACTGCAGTTCAAGTCCCAGACCTGGCAGCTTGCTTTCTCACCTTCTCTCTCTGTCTCTCTTTGGTAAGTGCATTTGCCCTATAGTAAATTTTAAAAATAATAATTAATAAAATTAAATAAAATAATTCTTAAAAAAATTAAAAGGACTGTGATAGCAGCTTTATTTTTAATACCTAGGAACTGGAAAAGGCCCAGATGTTTTTTTAACAGAAAAATGAATAAACTGTGATATATCCACACCATGGAATGTTACTCAGTAATAAAAAAGAAACTATCAGGACGTACAACAACCTGGATGATGTTCTAGAGACTTAAGAAAATTAAAGAAAGCCAATAAAAGATTACATACTGTATTATTTCATTTCAATTTTATTGAAATAAAACTATAAAAGTCGAGAAGAGCTTAGTGTTTTCCAGGGGTTAAGGAGAGGATGATAGTGGGAGAAAAGTAGGTGTAGCTATAAAAGGGCAATAGGAGAGATGTTCTGTATCTTGACTTTATCAGCGTCATTTTCTTGGCTTTGTCATTTTACTAAAGTTTTGCAAGATGTTGCCATTGGGGAAAATGGCTAAACAGTACAAGGGATCACTGAATTATTTTATTTTCTCAAGGTACTGTTCAGATGGAGGTTTTCATTGCCTTGATAATTTATGGCTTGGAGATTAAAAAAAAATCAGTGTTTTTTAAAAAAGAATTATTTTATTTAACTCTACTTATTTATTTACTTATTTTTTAATTTGACCAGAGAAGGGGGAGTGAGATAGAAAGGAAGGGGGAGAAAGGGAGAGGGGGAGAGAGAGAGAGAGAAAGCAAGCTGTCAGGTCCAGGACTTGACCTGTGATTGGCCATGTGGGAGTCCAGCGCTCCTAACCACCTGCTGGCCCTACTGTATTATTTTTTTACAACTGGCATATGAATCTACAATGAACTCAAATTAAGCAGTTTAATTTTTAAAAAGTAAATGTTCACCTTATACCATTAAATAAATTTGAGAACCATTGACTTATTTTTAAAACTGTACCTTTCCTTATGTAAAAAAACATGTAAACAAACTATAATAACATGAAACAGTATAGTAGACATAAAACAGACCAATGGAACAGAGAAGAATCTAGCCTACATTAAAAAGTAATATTTGATCAAGGAATTGCTTTTTTTTCCCTTTCAGATCCACTCTCCACCCCCTCTGCTCAGGAGATCAAACTCTATGGGCTGCGGCAACTGGAATTCTTACTCTAGTTATCAGCTGGGAGCTGCTGCAGGAAATCAGAGAGCGGGAGTTGGAGTATTCATTACCTACAATCTTTTCCTATTATCCTGCTGGGTCACAGCTTGCTAGTAACTGCATTCTTCTACTGAAGGCCACCGCTCTTAGTCAGCAGCCCTGTGCTTTATAAATTTGTCTTGCTGGTTCTCTAACTATTCCTCCTGTCTCTTCAGAGTTAGGAATAGCAATGTTTTCTGCTGTTACTAACCTTAACATGCCTCACCACCCATCCTCTGCTTGTGTACCTGAACTTTTCCCACCCTTTGTAAATCTCTTCATGAGAGATGTCAGTCTCTTCCTTAACTTTTTTTTTTTTGGGGGGGGAGAGGTTTTTGCTATACGGGGTGTGTGTACGCAAGACAGACAGAGAGAGACAGAGAGATAGAAAGCGAGAAATCACCCCCCAGGGGGGATGGCCATGCTGCAATCCCTTCTCCTCCATTCTCCTCTCGGGATCTTGGGCACATACGCACATGCGCTCGGCATGAGTTTAAGCCACGGGGTCTGGGACTCAAACCGTGGTCGACTAAGTGGGAGTCCAGCGACATAGCCATTACGCTAACTGCTGGTCCCCTCTTCCTTAAACTTTTGTCAGTTATCCTTAGGTATGTCATTTCTTGTCTGGGACCTGATGTACTTGCCTAGAGACAAAAGCTAGAATGTTAGACTACTAAATACCAAGAGTCACTATACATTTAGAAATGTACAGTTAGAATAATGGTAATATGGGGGTGCCCTTTTATAAACCTTCAGGCAAAAAAAAAATTTCTTTCCTAAGTAGTGCAATAATGAATATGGCTTTTCTCAAAGAGAAGTCTGACGTTTGTCCCACCTCCTAGAGATAAGCTCTATCCCCTGGATTTTCTTTAGTAATAGGAGGGACTTTATTGTTCGTGGGCCCCTCAGACCACAGCTGTAGTTTTGTGGTGGGTCCCTTGAATCACCTGGTATGAGCCAGTGTCCAGAGAGTGAAGGGCTAAAGACTGAGTCAACCACACGGGCAATAGATCAGTCATACTCACATAATGGAACCTCAATTAAAAATCTGAACGCTGGGACCAGCGGGTGGCGTGGTGGTTAAGGTGCTGGACACTCCCACATGGCCAACCACGGTTCAAGTCTTGGACCTGGTGGCTTGCTTTCTCACTTCCCATCTTTCTCTCTCTGTCTCTCTCTGGTCAAATTAAAATAAATGGATGAATAAATAAATTAAAAAAACTAAATAAATAATTAAAAAAAAATCTGAACACTTTAGGCTGGTTGCACTGCCAGGATTGGCAATATTCCCCGCATACTATCATACGTCAATCATAAGGATAATGAAAGCTTCACATTTGGAACCCTCTTAGATTCTACCATATGTCTCTCTCCTTGGCTAATTTTAACCTATATATTTCCCTGGTAACAAACTAATATAACATGAGTATAATAGGTTTCAGTGAATTTTGAGAGTCTTATATAATAGTGAGTCGAAAGGTAGTTTTGGGAACCTCTGACTTTGCAGTTGGTTTAAGAGGTGAGTGTGATCTTACGTGGACTCTTCCCTCTCACTTTGTAGGTGGGCTCTAACTGCTTATAGTTAGGGTTGGAAGTCTTGGGGAGAGCTCACAGTCTGGAGGACAGCACTCTTAAACTTAGCTTCAATGGCTAATTCCAGATAAAAGCACAAAAATATAGTATCAGAAAACATGAATTTATATTAATTTGCCAAATTAATATTTTTTTTCTCACATTTGTATTTATATAGTTTAAATTCTTCTACTTACCTGAGGGTCTACTAACCACCCATGGTACAAAGGAATATCAAGAAGATCAAATACTATGCATTCTGGCGTATATTCAAAGACTCGAACACCAGTGAATCTTACATTTACATCCAGGCCTGTCTGTAGTTTGTGCAAAATCGCCATCGCATCACTCATATTCTGAAAATTGAAAGGGCAAAGGTATAGTTTAGAAAAATCAAAACAAGAGACCAGCAGATGGCATGATGGTTATGTTGCTGGACTCCCATGTAGTTGACTGTGGTTCAAGTCCTAGATTCAGTGGCTTCAAACTCACACCAGGCACATGTGAGTGTGTGCCCAAAATCCCAGGAGGAGAATGAAGGAGACTGTGCCATGGCCATCCCCCCAGGGGTGATTTCTCACTTTCTATCTCTCTGGCAAGCACATGCCTGATAGCAAAAATCTCTCTCTAAAAAAATAAATTAAAAAAAAGGAAAAAGAAAAAAAATCAAAAGAGCAAAAATTTAGGGGCTCGATCATATCCTAGTGGTTAGGGGAGAAAGATCCCACATGTAAAACTGCAGTTTGAATCCCTGTCCCGGCAGCTTAAAAACATACGAAGCATGTGTGCCTCAAATCCTGACTAACAGGAGAAATGGAGGAAGGACTGCAGTGCGACCATGCCCCATGGGAGTACTTTCTCCCTCTCCTCTCTCTTTCTCCCTGTCTCGCTCTGGCAAGCACAAGTGCCCTCTAGCAATTAGGAGAAAATTAAAACATATTTAGGTGCATACACATTTGCTTTTTCCATTTTATCCAATTTATCCATCTCTTCAACAGAGCTGTATTATTTAGTACTACTATATGCCAAACACCAATCTTAGTTCAAAAGCTATTAATAGTGAATAAAACAAAGTTCTTGATCTTCTGATCCACTGTGAAAAACAAACATGTACATAAATATGCAATATAATGTAAAATATTAGTAAGAAAAATAAGCAGGATGAGGTTCTAGAGAGTGGCAGGGATGAAAGACCTCATTTATATCGGAAATCCTAAAGTTTATAGTTTCTAAAGTGGGCCGGCAGGTCTCATAGTAGTTAGGGTGCTGGACTCGCACATGATCAGCTGTGGTTCAGGTCCTGCACTTGACGGCTTGCTTTTTAACTTTCCCTTTCTCTCTCTCGCTCGGTTTCTCTCTGGTCAAATTAAATAATAATAATAATAACAAAATGAACAGCTCTTTGAAAAGTTTCTAAAATCAAAAAGGAAGGCTTCTCTTACTTCTGAAATACACATACAATAGCACTGAAAGCAGGGTCTGGCTCAGGTGTGGTGGCAGTTGGTAGTCAAGGTGCTGCAATGTGGAAGCCATACAGAAGATTAAGGAGTAGTTTCCCCGTCAACCTGTAAGTGTTAAGTGTAATTCTCTCTGGCTAAAAAGGCTGCGGAAGGATCACAGCATTGAGACCCTGTTGAGAATGCTTGTCTTTCTCTTTCTCATGGAGGAAAGAAACTTAAAGAAAAAAGAAAGCAGGATCTTGGAAAGATGTAAGTATATTCCTATTCATATTATTCACAATAGCCAAGAGGTAGAAGCAGCCCAAATGTCCACAGACAAATAGATAAAGAAAATGTGGGATGGGGAACCAGCAGTTAGCGTAATGGCTATGTCGCTGGTCTCCCACGTAGTTGACAGCGGTTCGCGTCTCGGACCCAGTGGCTTAAAACTCATGCCGGGCGCATGTGCGTGCATGCCCAAGATCCTGAGAGGAGAATGGAGGAGAAGGGATTGCAGCGTGACCATTCCCCCTGGGGGGTGATTTCTCGCTTTCTGTCTCTATGTCTCTGTCTGGCGAGCGCACACGCCCTATAGCGAAAAACCTCTCCAAAAAAAAAATAAAAAAGAAAGAAAGAAAATGTGGGATGTATTGGGTTGTCAGAAAAGTCAAGACATGCTTTTACATAGAAAAACAGAAAACATATGTCATGACTTTTCCCACAACCTAATACATACAATGGACTATTTTTCAGTCTTTAAAGAGAAGGAAATCCTGTCAGATGCTACCATATGGAAGAAACCTGAAGGCATTATGCTGAGTGAAATAATGCAGTCACAAAAGTATAAAAACTGTATAGTTAAACTTATATAAGAGACAGAGTCAAAACCATAAAACAGAAAGTAGAATGGTAGTTTCTAGGAATGTGTGTTGGGGGAAGGACGACAGGAAGTGGGGAGTTATTCTTTGATAGGTACAGTTCCAGTTTTCCAAGATAAAAAAGTTGTAGAGAACTTTTACATAACACTGTGAATACATCAATTCACCACTGAAATGTGCATTTAAAAATGGTTAGGAAGATAAATGCCATGATACGGTTTTTACTACAACTAAAAGAATAGAAATGAGGGCTAGCTGATGCACAGCAGTAATGCAGTGCTTTGCAATCGTGGGCCCACATGGGAAGGTCTGGGTCTATGTCCAGGGATCTCCCCATGCATGTTGGACACATGTGTGTACCATGATGTAAGCCGGCTGAGGCCACAGGTAGACTGTGATATAAGAGCTCTACTGGAGTGGGAAAAATCTCTCTCTCTCTCTCTCTCTTTCTCTGTCTTTCTCTGATGGAAAAAATACATTTAAAAAAATGGGGGGACAGCAGTTGGCATAATGGCTATGTTGCTGGACTCCCATGTGGTCGACCAGGTTGGAGTCCCAGACCCAGTGGCTTAAACTTACGCCAGGAGTGTGTGCGTGTGTGTGTGTGTGTGTGTGTGTGTGTGTGTGTGTGCATGCCCAAGATCCCAAGAGGAGAATGGAGGAGAAGGAATTGTGGTGTGGCTATCCCCCTGGGGGGTGATTTCTTGCTTTCTGTCTCTCTGTCTCTCTCTGTCTTTCTGGCTAGTGCACGTGCCCTAGAGCAAAAACTCTCAAAAGAAAAAAAAGGGGGGGGGACAGGTGGCATAGTGGTTGCAGTGTTGGACTCCCACATGGTCAACTGTGGTTCGAGTCTTGGACCTGACGGCTTGAAAATCATGCCAGATGTGTGCTTGCATGCCCAAAAATCCTAGGAGGAGAATAGACAAGAAGGAGCTGCAGTGTGGCCATTTGCCTGGGGTAGGGGGGTGATTTCTCACTTTCCCTCTCATTGTCTCTGTTTCTCTCCAGCGAGCACAATCACCCTATGACAAAAATCTGAGAGAGAGAGAGAGAAAGAGAGAGAGAGAGAGGCTTTCAGGCTATGTAAAGACAGAGAAGAAACCTAATTGTTTATTACTAAGTGAAAGAAGTCAATCTGAAATATAATGATGTTGCAGTATGACTCCAAATGACATTCTGGAAAAGGCAAAACTATAGAGGAAGTGAAAAAGATCAGTGGTCTCCAGGGATTGGCAGGGGCAGGGGGGGAGGGGCAGATAGGCAGAGCACAGAAAACTTTTAGGTTAGGGAAAATAACTCCATATGATACTATATGGTAAATATGTGTCATTATACTTGTCAAAACCCCTAGACTGTACAACACCAGCAGTGAATCTTAATGTAAATTGTGGACTTTGGGTAATAAAGATGCACAAAAGTAGGTTTCTCAGTATAACAAATGCACCATTCTGGTACAGGATGTTGATAAAGAAGGAGTCAATGCATGTGGGCTGAGAAGGTAAAGGGGGTATTATGGAAATTCTCTGCTACTTTCCATATTCAATTTAACACTGACTACTGAACCTAAAACTGCTCAACACAAAAACAAAAAAGAAAGAGAGAGAGGGGGAAAGGGAGGGAAGAGAAAAAGAAAAAGAGGAAGGTCTCTTTGAAAATGACACTTGAGGGTCGGCTCGCTGGCACATCACTAATGTGCTCCTTAAGCAAAGCTGGATCTGTGTGGAAGATAGCAGGTCTAGTTCCCAGTCATCGGTCATCCTGTGTAGGACCAGTGTGTACATTATGACCCTGGCTGGCTGGGAGGAATCCCAGCACAGGATCCTGTTCAGGCTGCAAGAAAGAGAAAGAGAGAGAGAGCGCGCGTGTGCAAGCACCACCCAATGGGACGTGGTCACGTAGCAGTCCCTTTTCCATTTCTCCATCCTGTTGGGATGGTGGGTGCGTGCGCACACAGACATGCCCATTGTGTCTTTCAAGAAGCCAGGGCTGGCGTTCGAAATGTGGTCAGTCATATGGGCTCCAGTTCCTAATGCACGGGGCTTAAGTGCTGTGCTATGAGATCAACCCGTCTCTCTCTCTCTCTTTCTGTCACTCTCATGAAAGAAATAAAATAAATAAAAGAAAGAAAATGGCACTTGAATGAAGACCAAAGTGAACACTGGTTCTGCGAAGCTCTGGAAAAGATGATTTGAGACAAAGTAGACACTACCGCAGAAACCTGATGCAGAAATAAGTTTATTACTGTATGGCTGGAAGGAAAAAATACAAGTGCAGAACTGTAGGAGATGTAGTCTGAGACAGGCAAAGGCTGAATCACAAAGATTTATTGGCCAAATTAAAAGAGATTATGTCTATATAGGTTTTCTCAATTTATGTGGTTACATAGGTATGCTATAAAGACATTTTTAAAAATTACAGAATTAATTAATTAATTAATTAATTAATTAACATTTGACCAGAGAGGGAGAGTAAGAGAGAGAGAGAAAGAAAGAGAGAAAGCAAGCCACCAGGTCTGGGACTCAAACTGCAGTTGGCCATGTGGAAGTCCAGTGGCTTTAACCATGACACCACCTGCTGGCCCAAAGCTACTTTTATTTTTACTGCCAGACAGCACATGCACTCGCCAAAGACAGAGAGAGAAAGAGGGTGAGAGAGAGTCCTCTGATGGGGTGTGGTCATGCTGTAATTCTTTCTTCCATTTTTCTTTTCTGTAAGGATTTTGGGCACAACCACATGTATACCCAGTGTGTTTTTCAAGCTGACAGGGCTGGAATTTAAATTGCTGTCTGCCATGTGGGTCTGGTTCCTTAATCACTATACTGTGGGGTTGATCAAGATTTTTGGGGGGAGAGGTTTTGCTATAGGGTGTGTATGCTCGCCAGACAGACAGAGACAGAGAGACAGAAAGTGAGAAATCACCCCCCATAGGGGATGGCGACACTGTAAATCCCTTCTCCTCCATTCTCCTCTCAGGATCTTGGGCACACATGCATACATGCCCAGAGTGAGTTTAAGCCACCATGTCTGGGACTCGAACTG